CGAGATGGCACCGACAACGGCAGGCCGACCAAGTTGGCCAGCAGTGGTATGAAGCCGCCGTCCGCAACCAGGCGCGAGTACCACATGGCTCCAGAATGGCTTCTCCGTCAGTCATTGTACACCGGAGCCAGCGTCAGATATCGTCAGCCTCCAGGCGTCGCCCTGCATCAGACAACACCCGGTCATCACCACCACCGGTGCCCCTGTCAACCAACCCCGAGCCAGTGCAGCCATTCAATCCATTTGTGACTTCCACAATGCTGCGGACGAACAGCGTTCCATGGCGTGTTTCGCCGGCCCAACCGGCTATTCTGGCGTCGGTCGCTAATATCCGGGCGGGTTTCCAAGAATTGACGCTCCAGAGTCTCGCCCCGAGTGAAGAGATCGACAGCGTCCACGTCGACAGCATCTACTGTGTGTTCTGCCAGACTGAGGATGAAGACCATGCGGACGAGAGCGTGATCTTGCACTGCGGTCAGTGCACATCGCTCTGTCATCTGTCATGCGCCGAAGAATGGTTGGAAAAGCGAGATACAGGGTTTGGCACGTCATGCTGTGTGTGGTAAGTGTGGATGACCTTATTTCTAAGACGACCAAGATACTGATGACCGCAGCCGAAACGAAGGTGCCCTAGATGCCTTGATTCGCCCTTTACCAATCACCTCGTCGGATGCCGAGACACATTCCGTCCACACGGCAAGCGATCCATCTCCCACTGGTGGGCCCCGTCGCTCAGCCAGACTAGCAGGAACTCATCTACCGCGAGAACCTTCTACTTCTGCACCGCTTCGCCGGTCGGCACGACTGAATTTCACTCAGCGTAGGTGATCACAGGTTACAGCCGAGTTTGACGGAAAATGTGAAAAGCGAGTGAATCACACGTGAGTGCACGTGACCGACACTCGGCATCGTGATCAGCAACTGTGGTTGTAGAATTGATATAGATTTTTGGAGCAAGCTTAGCAAGAAATGAGATCCTGATTGTAAAAATCCAGAGTACAAGGCGACAGTTCATTTTTGCAAGTGCTGGGGCACCACTAGACCTTAGCCAAAGATACTGGCTGCTCCACTTAATTTGACAATGACATAGCGCTAAATGTGCTGGTAGATTCAGTTCCTTATTTCATCATACCTAATGGCGTGACCAGAGACACACCGATTCATCTCAGTGGAGCCGTGTCGCGTGAAGGCGGGGATTGTTGGCAGAAAAGCCACAGGCAAGAGACTGACAAAACTCTCGTGCTTGTTAACTTACTCTGGGAACCAATATGTTGGCCCTGGGAATCTCAAAAGCATTTCTAGGAGCCATTTTTACCCTAGGAAATGCTGTTTAGCTCCTGGAGTTATTTCTAATCTCTAGGAAAGCGAGGTCTACCCCCGGCATCTTCACTTTACATTCCTGACTGAATACGAAACTCGCTCTGGGAATACATTGGCTTGACCTGGGAGCTGTGGAGCCCCTGGGAGCTTACTTTAGGGTCCTAGAGTCACTATGTTGCCTTCTGAGATCGCCGACAGCCCTCACAAAAAACCTTCACCGGACCTGCGCACAATTCTGCGTCATTCGGTCACTCCTAGAGGGCCAAATTATAGCCCCAGGAATCCAAAAAATCGCCAACAGGAACGCGGCTTTGATTCCCCGGGGTGGGGATACCAGACCCCAGAAGCTACATCGGGTTTCCTGGGGGCTATGTGGCTCCTAGAAGCTGCTTCTTTGCTCCCAGAAATGTTTCAGGAGCCCCTGGGAGTAAGATAACTCCCAGGGTCAAGAGATGAGCTCCTAGCACTGATCGAATCGTCAATAGGAGCATGAGAAGTTTCTTTATAGTAACACTGGATAGTCTTACGAGCCGCGAATAAAACCCTCGTAGTTGATTCTACGTTCACACTGGCCTACGGTTTCTAAATATTACGCATCGATAGCTTCAAATGGCTTTGACTCTGAATATTCGACATGGAGTATCAGTTATGCAACACAGATCCATCGCCGAGCGGAATTCAATAACTCATAGGATATTCGTCCTACAGGATTTCATCAATCAATCATAGATAGTTCATAGCGATTTCCAGATCTCCAGAGCTCCCGGAAATCACGAAGCATAATTTGGATCACCCTGTAGGAATAGTTGGAGTGGATATGAACATTCCTTGATCAATCTATCCAGTTCATGGGCTATGGCAAGGCTTGTTTGCAACCCCGCCATCCTCATTTCTTGGTTTGAGTACGGGGACAACGGCTTTTCCAAGAGAGGTATGTACACTGTAAATAATCATGTACCTAGTAAAAGATGTGGGCCCACCGCCGCACTCTATCTCTTGTGGACAAGTCTCTAGCGTTGCATATCTCTAAGGAGCCAACAGTAAGCCGGGAAACTATCCCATATTGTTTGATTTTGCTACAGTACGTTAAGTTACTTAGTTCCTCATCTTAAATGTCGAGGGCTGGGAATGGACCGACCGATTGCATATCAACGTCTATAAATTTTCCACCTTGACTATATATTGAATCCACCTCCAGCGGAAAGAAACAGAAAACCACACTAGAATTGGCTACCTTCACATCAGTTTATAATAATGCATTGCAAAGATCTCTCACCTCAGGCTAGACATGGTTTGTATGTCCCTGTGGAATGAATACGCCTTGCTAACAGCAATCGGATTGGAAACGTGCGGAGGACTATTGCCTGGCGTTTGAATCACAATTCTTTTTGAAAAGGTGGAGAGAAGATTATCGTATGACGAAGGCGATGATGATGTCCTGCGTTCAGATGTCGTCTCACGCCTTTGATCTTAAGATCGCGCATTACAAAGATGTTTCGTGCCAGGCTAAAGGCTTCCGACGCCACGTCAAGAAGGGGCTTTTAACGGCCAAAGAGATGGAAGAGAAAAGGCAAACTGTTTACAGTCTCTATGCTGATGCTATGAATGACCTCGAGAGATGGACCGGTAAGGGTTCTAAACTGTTAGTAACGCAACATTGGGAGACTAACTTTTTGCAGAGTACCGGTTCCCACTAAATTGGACATGAGAACTTGAGCATAGACTACAGTGAACGATGGAGCCGCCATACAGTATTTTTAAAAGACCTACGCACGGCAGCGCGGTATGATCAAACAGCAAAGAAAAGAGAATCATCAAGCATCCCGCGCCATTCGCTTCCTACTCCAACTCTCCTGTTCTTCGGAAATAGAGTAATCAACACGCAAGCGGTGGAGGATCAACTAAATGTAGAGCACCACCCCCAGCAATGAAGGATTTCGGTTGAGTGATCACCATGCGTATTACCTATACTTGTCTCCACTTGCTTATAATCTACAGATTGTGGGTAATGGAATCAGAGGATTGATGATAAGACTGGCCTATGTTGGTTTGTCGACACATCTTGACAGCTAGAGCAACCGCGACACGATTTCGATCTGCAGTGTTCTCCAGACTGATACGTACCAATTGTCTGTTAGGTGAGGCCACAGTGGGACTTTCCCGGAGAGGTAAAGACAGGCAATGTGTTCTCTGCAGTGCTGATGGAAACGGTACACGATGATGGTGAGGAATACAAGATTCTAGAAAGTGTGTCAACGGTTTACTTTTATGATGCTCCTCATAAAAATAGTGTCAGCACCAAACACGGAAAACCACTAAATTGAGTGGATCCAAAAGATTCTTCAAGACCCGAGTAGCTATTAATGACCTGAAATTTATGATATATGGGATGCTTTTCACCTCCGGGAGGCGTCGTGAACTCCAGTGACTAATCGTTGAGCCGTCCACTATTGAGCGTTTACTCACCAGTATACCAATCCGCTTTGAAAACATAGTGAGTCTGGTATTCAAACTCGGAGGATCAAACCCAGGTCTTAAATCCTGATATGTAGGCTCTTCCCATTCTATCAAGCAAGGCAATAGAAATTTTTATTTTTGTTTCAGAAAGGTAAGCTGAGTCTTGTTAAGACAAGTTCTTGTGTAATGAGAGAGTGGAAGCAGAAATGTAGTGGTGAATAACTCTGGACACATACCGTATGTGCAGTGTGCTCTATATACACGAAGCTTGCCTGTTCAATGAAAAACATAGCCGAACCTGAGCTGCGCCAACACCCTTTGCACTGCCCGCTGTCTAGGCGCATATTTTCCCCGCGATATACGTTGAAAGTTAGACTACTACACCTTCTTGGGCAGCGGCCCCGGACAAGCGCAGGTCTCCGGAATCTTGTGTAAAAGTAGCTCCTGGGATCATCCATGCCTTGTGTCAGAGTTATACACGAGCCATACAGGACAAATGGAGGTATGATCTGCGTGACCAACTTGGTCCATCTGGTTTCCCTCGGGAGCGAGGAACCTCTCTTTTCGCCTCCTCGTGCTTCGTCTTGTATCTAGAGTCAACTATTGTTGTTTTTAATATTGATTGTTCATCTTGAAACACTATCCACCTCGATTTATACGTGAGACTCTCACACATAATTCCAGAAACCGTACAAAGCCCCCAGGAGCAAGAACAAGAAGGACCTTGGGACACCTGCGGTTAGCAACAGCGCTGGGCACAATCCGACATGGGACTGATGTTAGGCATGCTGCGCCAGTTCACTGCTGCCGCGACTTGCTGCAAGAATCCCACGAAGTGCTAGTGCCATTATACTTGACATCAAGCCAGAAGAGGAGCATCCTAGGGCTCGTATATTAGTCCACAGGACAGAGAAAGCCTTTCAATATCGAATAGAAGGTGGAGTTGCGTGACTAGATCAATGACCTTTCGACGATGAGCTCGAAAGACCCGAAGAAGTTCACGTAAGATGCATGTCTCTGAAAGAATATTCCAATTAGTGGCCTACTTAGGCATTCAGCCGAGAGACTTGGGAACGCCATCTTCCCAAGCTGGCTCATACTCTATCAAACGCCAAAGAATATATCGAGGCCATTGTTTTCTGAAACTGCAATAAGCAAAAGGAAATGTATCCACTGAGGTCATGGAAACCCCCTCGTACACACTCCTATTGAAGCCGGCACTCTCAGGTACTTCCAGACTCTTGGTATGGCCAGAGGTTTCTGAACAACTCCCTCTCATTTTCGTCCTTCGCCAATCCGATAAAAATATCTTTGAATTTGCGGCAATTCTCACGAGCCACGTCGTAGTCTTTCGTTTCAACCATCCCATCCACAGGGAGAATAGCTTGCTCTCGGAACAACAACAACATTTGCCCAACTCCTTTGATGTTTTCCTCTTCCTTGAAGTGGAGATTGATTTCCTCGTCACTGAATGCTATCGGACACGGAGTGTTTGGAACAAACTGGCTCCAATGCGCAGCTATACTCATGAGCGCTTCGCGGAGAAAAAATAGATCACGGTTTTCCCATACCCCAGTCACAAGCCAGACAGGTTTGCGGATAACAGGAATTGTAGGTTGCTGGAGCACAGACCAGTGAAGGGGGGCGCGCTTATACACCTGCGCCTCGTAGTATTTGTGAATCGTTTCGCTTTCTAAATCTTCATCGATTTTCTTCTGTTCATCTTGACTGAGGTTCTCAAAATCCTTGGGTCGTCCAGGGACGACCCAGCCTTCCCTAACAGGTCGAGGATGTCTACACAATCTTGGAACAGCAGATTGGTAGAACAAGGGCGAAACACATGCTGATTGCCAGTCTACGACTCGCGTGATTTGGCACGTATTTGGATCCACGAAAATGTTATCCAGGTGGAGGTCCGGATGCCACAGAACGTTGGAAGTTGATGTTTTGTCGTTTGTGTGGGGGATAAGGTAAGGTGATACATCCAAGTATTTCTCTAAAAGCGCGACACCATCTGCAGGAAGCTCTCTATTCTGGTTCGACCGGTAATAGTTCATTCGAGGACGTGCATGTGACTTGATCCAGACCATTTCATTGAGGCCCATTGCACGAGTGTATTCGCATGCATGCTTCCCTGTGCGAAAGAACATAATGTCAGAAACAGCGAATGGAATTCGAATGTCAGTCTACTCACAAGGACCACGATCCAGCTGCATATTTCTCCTAGTCCCATTCCACAATTCGTTCGTGGTCAACGGCCCAATTGAAAACTCCTTTAGAGCATCGTCATCAACAGCGTGGGAGTGTATATCTTCTGCTTGCCCAACAAGAGAACGCAGGTCTCTTTTAAAATAAATGCAACCGTGTTTGTCAAAGGTAATGGACGTCAACCTATTCTCCAGGTCAACCACTTGAGTGATGAGTTGAAGCTTTAGATCCCGTGGCCACTGATTCCAGACAGAGCCAAGTCGTACACCGGGTGCCTTCTCCTCAATGATGTATTCGGCCCCAACTAAGTTCTTCGCAGAATTGCAAGACCATGAAAGTATCCGAGGAACAGGGAAATCAAACACGTGGCGAAGCTATGAGCGTTAGAGATAAGGTCGCGGCTCATGGGAAACCCGACGCCTTACCAATTCACGCGTAGCGACCTCCGAGGAAACAGTGAGATGAGCAGGACCAGCGTTAGGGTTCGGGAGTTTCGCAAAGACCTCCGACCCATTGTCCATTTCCAAAATGAAGGCCTTGTTATGTAAGCCCTCCGCACATTTGGTGACTCTGGTGCCTATTGGACTTAGCGCATTCCATTCGCAAATTCCCAAGAGCAAAACATACAGTAATGGGCTCCATCGCATGCATCAATTGCAACCCTCACAAGTTGTTGTAGATTGAATTTGAGATAACGTTGCGAAAACTGGCTCTCTTCGTTGAACCTACGATTGGTGTTGAATTAGCCAATATACAAACCTGGATAGTTTGGATGCCTACAGCCATCGATGCTTTGTATATCGATACAAATCTTCTTCACAAATTCTTTCATCTATGCACCATAAAAGGGGGTCAGCTATGCAAATTCATTTAGAAACAACCGAAAAAACTCACTCAGGCCATCCAGCCTTTCTAGGTAAAGATCAGGTTTGCGAGCTGGTGGCTCACGTCCACCTGACCGAAGATAAGACAAGAGTCTCATGTTCCGTAAAAGGCGATAGGAACGAGGTGCAATGACTAGATTTCGATTACTGAGTCCAGAAAACTTGCTCGGAATTTTTTTCATGATCATTAAAGTCAAGTTCGGACAAGTATGACGTTGGCAGGATGATGGGTGGTGTTGGCAAGGAGGTCCCAGCCGGGACAATATATTTCCATCCTCCGTCCTCTTTCGGGCAAGACGGGTCACAGGCCATTCCCACCAATCAAGATACTTCTGTATATCCTGCTGACTAACATTGTAACGAAGCCCATTTTGTTACGTGGCGGAGAAGACTATGTTAAATCGAAAGCGCACAGTTTGTGATAGTATGGAGATATGCACAATTAAAAGTATCCACATTATCTACTGTGTCTAATCAGAGGAAGACGCGAAATCAATGGACTCTTTAAACAGTCCGCTCGATCTGCGGACAGGCAACAAACAAATGATCTATCCTAATCAGTACAAGCCGTACTTAGACACAAAATCGGGTCAAAGGTATGCTTCTCTTTGAAACCGGTTTCCAACAAAGCAAAGAAGCCCAGAAATCCAGTGAATACAGTATGGCTCTATCGCTGTTGTGCGATAAGCAACTTGATGCCGCTTCACTAACGGCGTCCGGGAGAAAATGAACCCCAAATTCCGCAATAGCCGTGTCACGGGACGACCCCCCACCCTTCGGGTAGGGGGTGTCCCACAGCCATAATGCAATTAACCTCCATAATGCAAATTTCCTACCTTTTCAACTTTTACGCGTATTCCTACCCACCTAAAATGCCTAAAAAAACTCGTGATGAAGAGGATCTGCTAGCTAAGGCATTACATGCTTATACTACGCGAGAATTTTCATCACTACGTAAGGCTGCGGACCATTATCGCGTGTCTTATTCGAAGCTTCGCGGTCGCAAAAACGGACAGACATCTCTCTCCGATCGCCCTACCACCAATAATGCATTGAATTTGAATCAGGAAAATGCATTAATTAGCTGGATCGAAGTGCTAAATTCTTGCTATACACCTCCAACTGCAAAAGACATTGAAATTGCCGCAAATCGCCTGTTGAAAATAGCGGGTTCGGAGAGAGTTGTTAGTTCAATGTATAGCTATCGGCTTATACGGCGTCTACCTCCACACATCAAGCTTATTACCCAAAAATCAAAGGAGTCTTTACGAATTCAAGCCGAGGATCCTGGAGTTATTAGCCATTGGTACGATAGGCTTGAGTATCTCTACCGTGAGCATGGTTTTGAACCTCATGAGATCTATAATTGGGATGAAACCGGCTTCCAAAATGGCGAAGGACTTAACCAACACGTCGTCTCTACGCGTCAAACTGCTAGTATTGCTACTGGAGATCGAGGTGAAACTATTACTGGCATTGAATGTATTGCCGCTGATGGCTGGGTGATGTTTCCGTGGTTTCTAGTCAAAGGCAGCGTCCACATGGAAGACTGGTATAGTAATATGTCAACCTCTTCTTCGGCGTACAAAATTATCCATTTGACGTCTAGTGGCTGGACGGATAGTGAGACTGCTTACCGATGGCTATGCTCATTTCATGAAGCCACAAAAAACCGCGTACGACGTGGGCGACCGAGGCTTTTGCTAATGGATAATCATACGTCTCATACAACTATCGAATTTCTCGATTTTTGTAAGGAAAACCTGATTATTCCTTGGTATTTTGTACCTCACACGACTCATATATGTCAGCCCCTTGATGCTGAGGCTTTTTTAAGCCTAAAACATGAGTTTAAAATGGCGAATACTGAGGTTGTGGCGTGGGGTGGAAGCAACGAAAAACGCGATTTTTTCCGCAATATTGACGCCGTCCGACGCCACGCCTTAAAGTCCAAAACTATCCAAACCTCGTTTAAATCTACTGGTATCTGGCCACTAGATCCGACACAAGTTTTGGGTAATTTAGGGCAGTATTCGGACGAAGAGACCTTACGTATGTACGACGAGCCGTCACCTACCCGCGAATTCCCAAGTTCAGCGACCAATTCTCCGCCCAATTCTTATGCGCGTATTGAAAAATTGGAGAAGACAGTTTTCCCGCTACTTGATAACCCGAATCCTGATTTACATAAAATTCGGAAGCATCTACGGCGCGCAATTGATGCCGGAAAATCGTCTCTATACAATGCGGAACTTGCTGAGATGAGTCTTGCGCGCGCCCTTAGCCATAAAACGCCTGGGAAAAAACCTACAAAAAGCAAGCGATGGGTGAAGGGTGCTACAAAGAGTCCCCTTTCATCGATTTCAGGCAATAGGCTAGTACAGCGAAGGTGTGAGAAAGAAGATGAGTCGAAGCTTCGTGCTTGGCGGAAAGACGCAGAGAAAATGGCGGCCGATTTGGCGGCTAAGGAATTGGAGGAAACACTTGAAAATGAGGAGGTTGATACATTATTGGCTAATGAGGCTATTGATGGGCTTTATTTCTTGGATTCTGGACCTTATACGTCTAAAAAGTGAGCTAGAAGTTGAAGAAATTGAAAATTTGCATTATGGCTGTTAATTGCATTATGGCTGTGGGACACCCCCTACCCGCGAGGGTGGGGGGCGGTCCTGTGACACGGCTACATGTTTTTCTAAAACCAGTGACCAGATAAGGATTTTTCCTGAGACTTGTTCGTCAGTCAATGAGACGCGATCATTGATCAAAAACAAGCGCATCTTACCTTCAGTTTCAGAAATCTGACTATTTTCGAGCGTTCTCTATCTTTGAAATGAAGTCATCGACATCAAATGAAGTACGATCAAAAGGTATCTCAGTGATATTTTTGTGCGTTCCCTTGTGACCGCTGCCCTTGTTTCCGGACTTTATATAGTCCTTGACGGCGTTGTCGTTGGCCTGTGCGTTGGCTTGGACTTTCGCAATTGCTTTGTTTGGATCCTTTGAATCTTGATGGACATCTATGCGAAGATCAAGTGTTTTAACAGCATTGCTCCTGGTGGTCAGGTTGTCCGGTAGAATCCTCGTGATCTTGTCGACATTGTTTCGGACCACTTGAGATAACTCGGCAAGGACGGATTTCCAGGGCATTTGGCTCGCTGTTCCCAAAGACTAGCAATTAAGATTATCTGTGAGACTGGAGACTGGAGGTCTGGCTGGTCTATCATATGGTGAACAATGAAGAATTTAGACTCAAAAAAAATGGGATGCTCATTGTTAGCACTCCTGGCAGAGATATATTCAGCTTTCAAAAGAAGGTTTCCTTTTGAAATCGCGTCTAGCTTCTTTTTAATACCATCACGCGCTTTACAATGGCTGTAAAAGGCGGGGCGTAAGGCAACCGCATCATGGATTAGACTGCATCCCATGAGCGATTCGCCCAGTCCTGCTGATCGTCACTGTTGATGAATATTCCGGTCGGCCTAATAGTGATTGGGCGCATTGACCCCACTTGGAGACACTGGACCGATAAATGGCCTGAGTGTATTACAATTATAGGCGCCTAGATCATGCGCACCACTAGCGTGGTCCCATTTTCTGGGGGTTTCAACGCCGATCAGGGCCTATTCGGGCCCCGAGAAAAGAAGGACTGTTGGGAGCAGCGCAAAGGCTGCAAGACAGAGCAGGTTATGGGGTCTGGGTTTCAAAATGTTCTTAGTAAAAGGGCCGACGGGACTGAAAGACAGGGTGGCAAGAGCCACGAAGTTCCGAAGCTCCCATTGATTATCTTTTGGTCGAAAAAATACCATACAGTACCACTGTCCCAACTTGAGTGCGGGAGTGGAGAAAAATCCGAGCCCCTCATGGCGCGCTGCCGGGCGGCCCGTGCCTAGATGACGAGCCAATTATAGTCCCAACTGATACGCAACTCTTCCAAATCCATGTTATGCAAGAGCCAGCGCAAGGGGCAGCCAATCAGGGAGGCTCGTTATTTGCTACTTTGCTGCAGCGCCACAACAGCTTGGCGAACACGGCCTGGGAGCACCCGCCCCCCCGTGTTACAACCGAATCCAGAGCTTTTCCTGGGATCCAAGAATTCTGCGTCGGTATTAGTTCCAGCAGCAGCAGTCCATCACTATGGGTGTGCAGGAAAGCAAAGTCGTGATAGATACTCTTTGCAAAGCACACTCTGAAGCCCAGAACCAAGGCAAGGATAACATTGAGCTCGAGGTGAAGGGACCGGTCAGATACTCGCCCTTGACGCTTCATGGCATTGGCTGACAGCACCAGTTCCTCAACTCGCTAAAGAAGTTATGGACCAATGTTCCCGAATCGACCCAAAGATCCATCAGGGGACTATCACCCCAAAAGCGAAGCCGGAAGGTTCCAAAGCACACCTCTAAGGCAATCATCCATCATGTGGACCAAGAAAAAATCGCTCTTTGGAAGGGAAGCCCTCTATCATTCTTCAAGGAGAATCAGTCTGAGCTTGTCTTGACAGAAGATCCTTGCACTGAAATCACCAATTATATGACGAAGTTGAAAGATCGAAAAGGTTTAGACGAAGTGCGCTTTCGGCTCCTTCAAGTGATCTATTATCGATTCAAAGAGAGATTGGGCGTCAAAATAATGCGTCGAGACGACGTGAAATGCCTCACACAAATATTTTTTAAGTCTGGATTGAGAGATTCGAACGCTTCGGATCGGGTGTCCGATTGGGTGGACCAGGGGAACAGAATCAATAGTTTGTGTCTCGAAGTTGGAAGTACACAGCAAACTGGGTACCGTCATCTCGCCAATCTGTTCTTTTTCGACGATATTGCTGATCGCACGTAAGCTTGCCGCATCGATAAATTACTACGCACACTGAACACCTCCTAGTATCAAGCGAGTATCGATGGAAGAAAACGAAAAAAACACAGAACGGGGAGAACTTATTCGGAGGATCAGGCAACCCAGAGACCGAATCGGCCAAGACGAGAGACAGCAGTTGGAAGAACTGACGGACATGCTCATTGGTGCGATATGGAATCATGTTGAAGGGGTGATATCGAGATCTAACTTAGGTGAGTGAGTCGAAGCATTCTCAGTGACCGGCTTATCAGTGTCTTTAACAGGCTGGAAACTGCGGCAAACCCAATCTTTTCAAATCCAAAGCACGGCTCATCCAGAAGAACAATCTGCGCAGCAAGCGAATTTTGATGCTACACTGAATAACATGCCTTCGGTCACCTATCATCAACCTTTCCAGCCCACGACAAATGCGCCCAGGACGCCAAATGAACACAGGAACGGAGCGCCAGCTGTTTCTTCGAACTCCCCTACCGGCATCCCACCGCCCCCATCCGATACCTCTTTCAATGCACCGCTGCCTAGTGAGCCTAGCCCACCGCCGGCATTTGACTTCCAGTACCTTGATTTGGGCATGTGGGCTTTCAATACATCAATCGGCATGCCGCCGGTATCCAATGTGCCGTCCGATATGCCACCAACCTCCATCAACGCACCGCCGCCTAGTGAACCTAGCCCACCACCAGCAATAGACTTCCAGTGCCTTGATTTGGACATGTGGGCTTTCAATACATCATCCGCCATGCCGCCAGCATCCAATGTGCCGTCCGATATGCCGCCAACCTCCATCAACGCGCCGCCGCCTAGTGAAACTACCCCACCGCCAGCGTTCGACTTCCAGTACCTTGATTTGGGCATGTGGGCTTTCACTGCTCCCTCTAATCCGTCTCCCACTTCATTTAACGCTCGATCACCCCCCAATCAGTAGCCTAATATATCCTGAACGGATCGCCGTCGGTCCCACTGACGCACAGAAGACCTTTGCGGTCGCCGATAGTGCAACTTAAAGTCAAGGTATACCCTGAGCATTTTGCTTGCGCAGACCAAGAAGCTGATACCACATGAGGAGGCGGTTGTGACAGTCCAGCCGAGGTATCTATAGCATGTATTTAAGACACTGGAGTGTTCTGTCAGCTGGGCTTTTTTGTTTAGAAATTCATTTATTTCTGCGAACAGTAGTGCCTGTAATCCGAAGTCTCAAGATAATATCATCGAGGCATAATGAAAACGGCAGCTCCGGAACTCAGAATCGGCTCGTTTGTAACCCGAAAACCGAATCCTCCTTGTAATGGCCCTCCAGGCTGTAGAATTATGTCTTCGGACAATGGTATGAGATATCCTTGTTTTCGTTGATTCACTAGCTTCGTCGGCTTTGACCAATATACCAAGCGCTCTGTCCAGTTCTGAATGTCATTAGTAAAGCATCGTGAGATAGAGCGAGAACCCACTTGGTCAATCTCCATGTGCTGTTTCAGTCGAGCAGCTTTCTCCGTGAAAAGGTTCCCACCGTATATCTTATTCCCGTTTTCATCCTTATGAAGAAGTTCGGCTTGAGCCTTGACAGGTTGATCGGTCAAAGTGGCCGTTTCTGGTATCATTTCACGAATTTCATTGCGAATCTTCTCGGCCGCCGGGGGAAGAGGTGTACGTTCCATTCGGGCCTGCAAGGTTGTAACGGATCGTAGCGAGAAACTAGACTGACGGTTAACCAGAGAATCAATACTGCTTTATAGTCTCCCTTACCTATCCTAAAAGGTAGATCGAGGGGAAGTTTCTTGTTGCGACGAAGAATTTGTTGCGATGATGAGGGGTAGCAGATGGAAACCGTCAAAAGTTGGGCACGAAATCACATGACCATGTGAGTCTATTCCGATTTCCCGAGCAGACTCATCGCCAGCAATCCATCAGAGATTCTCTCTCGACCCTAAAGGCAGTGGAGGTTTGGCATAAATAGTGCTGGTCGGGTCCTGCTGCGCCCTTCCCAACCACTAACGAGAGCAAAATAATAGGCATAGTTAAGGAACAAGGCAATGAGTCGTGAAGGAACTAGGGGATGAGTACCTTCACAGTGCCACAAGGGTGAAACCAATCGCACATTCGCAGGTATTCGGGAGCTCGAGTGCTAGCAGCTGAAATACCTGGTATTATTGGCTTCGTTTAATCAGTGAGTTTGTTGTGTACGGCTGTAAAGTAGGGTCCGGAGGATTCCAGCTAAGTGACCCAGTGACCCATGCTAGGGAGGAAAGCTAGGATAACGTCGCTCACTTAGTGCATTTTTTTATTTAAGGAGTCGAGTCCCGCCCAGTATTCAATGTTCGTTTTCATAGAAAAAGAGGCATCCTTACCTGAGCTTCCAGGTTCCACTTCTGTAGGATCTTCTGACACTGTCATAGAATTCGACCGAAATGGAATAGGCATGCCGAAGTGTACAGAGAATTCGACCGAAATGGAATAGTGCCGCTATCTCACAATGGCTTCCTGTCCAATCATTTCACAGTCCTTGTGTTCTTTTAAAGTTTATAAGAAATGCCCAATTTCGTTACTAAATCCATAATAACAATGAGTTCAAATGACCAGGAATATAATAAAGACCGTACCGTATGTTACGCAGATCTCGCCCTGCCGTGATACCTAAGGCAGCTCTTTAAAAAGGCTATAGCTACGTCCATGACAGATGTGTGCTTGTCACAGACATCGTTGGCCTACCTTTCACATCGATTCAGATGCATCTATTAAATACTGTGATTTCTCGAAATAAAAAGATTCTTCTTCCATTGAATTGATGCCTAGACGTCAGCAATTTCGGTCCCCCAGGTAAGCTCGCGCTCATTCCAGCTAGGCAGTCTTGTCGCAAAAGTAGGAGACGCTGCAATAGGGGTAGGTTTAGTCTTGCTACGCTTAGCTTATGCACCGAAACTGAGGACGGTGGAAGGGCTGGGAAAAAAAAAGGAAAAAAAAAGAAAACCAGTGTGACGACAGATACCATGCGTTTTGTGCCTAGTAGCTCACTCAATGTGATGATCGGTTGGACTGAGAAGCTATACATATCAGCTGTCTGCCGCCAAAATCTACAGGGAACATACAGCAAGATACTCTTTCTTCCTAATTTTACTTTATCACTATCTCAACATCATGGGACTTTCCATCATCCCTGTGGAAAATATCGATATCCCCTTTGCAGACAAGCAAAACAACCTGAGATTGAGCGATTTTCTGCCAGTACTCTTATTTTCCTGTGTGACCCCCACGAACCACTCACCCCATACCTGCTTCTCTGTCAACGGGCACTGCTCGGCAAAGACGAGAATGGCAACGACAAGAAGAACTCATGGCCCTTCTCCTGGGAGCCACCTGGGGGATCCCAAGAGAAATTCGATAAAACTATTCTGAGCACTGCGAGACGTGAGACGAAGGAAGAAGTCAACTTGCACGGCTCGCACATTTCTCGTCAGGTCAACAAGGATTCGTGGATGCACAAGGGAGTTCCGATGGCCAAATACACATTTCCTCTGGAAGTTCATGAGCTACTCAAGCTCCAACGAACATGGTGCGACAGCCAGCAGCATCCCATCGGTACATATGAAGGACCCATACGGTTAAGGGAAGATGAGCATCTTGATTACTGTTGGGTTACGGAAGCACAAATTCGTGGTTCACCTCTCCACGACGAAAGGAATCCTCAGCATCAAACAGGACTTGTTATGCTTGAAAGCAAGAAGGAGATGATCCTTGATGCTTTTATGCGGCTGAAGAATTCTCAATTTGATATGACATACGCTTTGTAATGGATTGATAGTGGAATATTACCTTTCGGGCGACTCTTCTGAGATTGATTGCTTGAGGCCACACTCGGTCTTACATATGTCCCTCTTGGACAGATAACTCACTGATAGCGACCTGTATAAAGCGACGGCTTAGAAGAGAATGGTCTGGGTGGCGATGGTGATGTTGACCATTATTGGGGTATATAGAGACTAAGAGATCCATGCGGCACTTTTCCCGTGCCAAAGACAATGCGTGTCCTTTTAAGCCTGCCCCGAATTGCGAATATAGAATGCAACACTGGAACATCTATCCTGGGCTTTTTCGTTTCTGCATTGATTCCGTTCGAATTGATTTTCCTACCTCAACTATACTACTCTTCGTATAATGCGCCGCACTTCTTAATATCAGAATTTAATCATGCAACGGGCCTTGGCTCGCAACTTGCAGACTTGTTCACCGAGAATCATGCACATTGCTAAACTTGTCTGTAGGCCTAAAACCAGTTAAATATGGACCAATCCTCACAAGGGGAAAGCGACTAGCACCAGGCAACTATGTTTTAAGTTCAGAACTACTTTTGGGGCATGACAATTTGTACTACGTAAATGTACACACAATCGCTAGTAATTTGCCTTAGTCGCAAGGATTTAAATTTACAACTCAAGCCCACAGCAAGCCACAGCAAGCAGGGCCCTACAGCCAAAGAATGAGGCTTGATTCATATGTCTTCCTCGAGCACATCCCAATTGACGCTGCTCTGTTCCAATTGAGAGCTAGTCGAAGTGCAAATACCAACCATGATTCGTCCTGACGAAGATCAATTCAATACAGGTATGTTCATTTATTTACTAGTGATCTTAAACCAGGCTAAGCTTTGTAGACGCACTGTATACGATACAACAGGGGTCAAGAAACCAGGCGTCCCACCTCCACCGCCAAAGTAAAGAGGAGGTTTCAGCCCCATTCGGGATATGATATAAATACTAGCTGCCCAGAATACTGTTCCTATGCCATTTTGTACAACGAAGAAAACACCACAGATCATCAACAGATTATCGGTGTTCATCTCCACACCAAGTACCAAACCAACCCCTCAGAGATTCTTGCTTTCCCACCTAAAATGTCCGAACAACCTGATGAGGCACTTCATTCTCTCCTTGATTCCTTTGCCCCGGGGCTTTCATGGCTTATCCGGCTAATCTCGGCCGCACTGGGCGTTAACATATTGTCTTCTGTTCTGCCGTTGGTTGCCCTTCCGATCATTTCGACATTCTTACTGCCGTCACTTTCGCGAGCTCTGGAACCGATTATTTCACTATTTGTCGCCTCCGCAGAAATTAGACACCGGAATAATCTATACCCTCAAGTTATGAGATGGGTATCTAGTGTCAGGTTTCACGGCTGCTCAAGCTCGGTTATCGTTGGAATTACGGAGGCATTCGGATTTCTTTGGGATTCCAACGACGACTCTCTTCAGTATGTGGAGACAGAAATCCCAGCATATCGAGGAAAGATAGAGAAGCTTCGCATCACTCCGGGACAAGAGCGTTTTCATTTCTTTCGGTATCAGAAATGTTGGTTTGCCTTCTACCGCGACCCGCACCGGAATGCTCTGGATCCCTTCTCGAGAAATGCCGAGAATATCACTATTTATTACATGTCCTGGAACAAGGCTGTTTTTGAAAATCTTCTGGTGGATATCCAAAAATTCAATGTTGACTGCCGCCGCGGACAATTGGCCGTGTTCTGTGCACGCCAAGATAAGCGGGATGCGGGCTGGCAAAACATGTGCGACGAGATTCCTCGGAGCCTGGACAGCCTAGCACAGGATAAAGAAATGAAGCGAGAAATGATCGAAGATATTGAAAAATTCCTCAGCAAAGCCGTTACCGATTTTTATCGGAAACGTGGCATCCCGCATCGACGAGGCTATCTCTTCCATGGCCCACCGGGGACTGGTAAGAGCAGCTGCTGCAAGGTGATTGCCACCCACTTTGAGCTTCCGATATATATATTCAACCTCGCCACTGTTGATGATTATGGCCTACAAGAATTGTTCCGCACACTACCGGCCCCTCCTGCACGCTGTATGGTGGTACTTGAAGATATAGACACCACCGGGATTGATCAGCGTGGAAATACAGTGAACGAAGAAAAAAATGCATCTCGTCAGAAAGGAATAACGCTGGCAACTGTTCTGAATGCTTTAGATGGCATCGGAGCGCACAACGGCCATATACTCGTTGCCACCACGAATGCTAAAGCAACACTTGATCCGGCTCTGACTCGACCTGGACGGATAGACAAGCAATTCGAGTTCCGAAACCCTGATGCACCGACCATACACGACTACTTCTCTTTCTTTTTTGGTAATGATGATGCCGATGCGAAGTTCCCGAATACAACGCTTGATCAGCTGGCCAGTCAATTTTCCGATGTCGTCTCTCATTTGGCCTTGTCACCTGCTACACTGCAAGAGTATTTCTTGCAGTGCAATGAAGACCCGGTGATGGCAGTCAAGAATGTGGCGAAACTAGAGTCCACCGACCTACAACCGGCTGGTCCATAGAATTACCCGCGGCGATTAAACTTGAGGCTGGTTTACTTCTGATGGTAGGAATATTATCCTGGTACACATTACTTTCTTTTATCTTTGTATTCGAGAACTTGAAGTACAATCCTAGTGTCGTGACACAAGCAAAAGTCCGGAGATCTGCAGCATTCAACAGCAGGACCCAGAGAAACCAACCAATTGCACATAGATATCTCAAGTACAAATGAGAGTTCGTTCAACTGATTCAACGGCTACCCGCTTCTCCGTATTCTTTTGTGTGGTAAATCTGGTCGTTTCGGGAAACCCGCCTTGCAACACGCTAATACTAGCCCCTGG